GAAAGTTTTTTTTTTTTTTTTTTTTTTTTTCGCTAACACATGCATATGGCATGTTCTTGGCTGTACATGTCATTACACGCTTGTGGGTGATGGACATATATCCACTTTTGTAATTCCCCGCTGGTTAGTTAACAGCATTTTACATTTTATCGCATAAACGAAGCGATTATGAAGATTAATAGCTGAACGATGCAATCGTCCTGTTTCATCGCATTCTTTCAGCTAGGGGAATAGTAGTTAACGAGTGCGCATTTAAACATAGCCACGGGGACTGACGGGTAAAAAAAAAAAAGAGGAACAACCCCCTTCGTAAGGGTTTAACAAACTGTACGCACATTTTAACCGCGTCTGCTTTATGCATTTTGATGCAGCGGAAATGGTTCACCCATGAAGGGAAATATTAAAATTGTATCGAGCATTTTGCGAAAGCGCACGGTTGTCACACGGTGGGGCACAAGACCCCTAGAAGGAGGAGGAGGGGGGTAAACACATCCATGCAATTGTGAGAAGAATGAGAAACGGTTTTACAAATGAATGCGTCAGACTGCGTTCGTGGGAAACCATGCGCAGTTCAACAAGTGTGCACGTATATATACATATAAGCATGCTTTATGCGCGCGTCTTATGGTTGGTCCGGTTTGTTAAACAATGGGGGAAAACGAAGTAGTGGACATCCACGATAAGGTTGCAAGGGGTCCCCCCTTCCTTTGAAATGCTCCCCCATTTAGACCCCTTTGGTTTCCTTCAAAATTTTGCGCATAATTTTCTTAGACTTCTTCTTGTTGACGTTTTCAAATTTGGTTTCCGTCAAGTTGAGTTTTACGTTTCTGTTTAGGAATCCATAGTCCGTGTCCTGGTCATATTTAAAATGGTGCCAAAAAAAGGACCAAGCATAATCCCCATTTTTTTTATACCCCTGGAAATCCAGGAGTTCATCTGGGGTTTTATTAATAGGAACAAAAAAAGGGTACACATCATCCTTATACTTCCGATGGCACATTTTCATTTTCAATTGAAGAAAATTATTTTTATAAATGCATGTTATGTCACTAAGGTCGACATAGGAAAAGGGTCGAAATGCTCTCTGAATCCTCGTGTATTCTTGAGATTTGTTTCTTTTCTGTCTATTCTTGAAATTTTTGCATTCCCATTCTTGGATCATGAAATTTTTTCTTGTGTTAATTATAACAACAGGAGGCATAGGCTCATTCTTCGTAAATTTTGTATCCATATTATCATTCGTCGTGTAAGTGTAAGTACACCTCTTCAAATTATAATTGTTTAATTTGTTATATGTACTGTTATAAGAATTGACGTGCTCACATTCCACTTCCGGATCATCATTAATATCATTTGGCACATTCTCAATTACATGAGCATCCAAATCGTGTACAAAATTTTTATCCTTTTCTTGCCTGAATTGTTCATAATATTTATGTATGTCAAAATCGTTGTAAAATTTTTCAACGTTGTCGATGACGATGAGGGTGTCGTCTATTCTCATGTCAGGTAGCCATGTCTGTATTACCAAGTAAACATTTTCTTCTAAATATTTATCTGTTTTTTTTTCAACCATGTATAGCTTTTTGATGACTTCATTTTTTTCTTCTTCATCCATATCGGCAAGTGGGTCATTTTTCTGTTTCGCGTCATCCTTCCCCCCTTTTCCTCTTCCGATACTACTGGAGGGGGAAACCTCAGAGGGCTTAACTACATTCCCATGGATGTCCATAATTTCATCTTTTTCCTGGTACCTTTTAATATCTTCCCTCACTTTTTGTATCACCTTTTTGTTTATGAGTTTTTCCTTCTCGTCAATACTCTTGACATCCTTCAGCAGCTGTATGTTTACTTCATTAATATTTTCGAACATGCGTTCCAGCTTCTGTTGGTCCGCTCGGTACCTCCGTTCGTACACATCAACCTTGGGCGAGTTGCCCACTCGCGCGATGTAGTCTCGGTCTTGATTAATGTATTTGAAGACGTTGTCTCCGGAGGCGGCTGGGTCCCCTGTTTGGGCCTCTCCCGTTTTTAATCCATGTGCATCCATTGCATTTTTCAATTCGCCCGAGGAGGCGTCCTCCTTGCGCCCATCTCCCCCCTGAACTACACCGTTGTCATTTCTCCCCCCCATGCCCTCCTCCTCTAACTGCTCCAACTCCTCGATATTCTCAGAGTGCACTTCATTTGGCACTAAATTATTTTTGGCCCGATCATACACGCTCTCCCTCACGTAGTATATATTCATCTTGCCAAACATGGCAACATCTTGTGGGACGTTTATTCCATTTCTTTCGAAAAAAAGTCGTTTCCCTTTTCTACCCCTGTTCAAGTGTCCTGCCCTCAATCTGTCTTCCCCTTCCTCACATGCGCTTCCTACGTTTTTTTTCCACGTGTTCCTATTTGGAAGATACAGAAACAGCGTTTTTTTTTCTATCCACTTGGCTCTTTTTCTCCTTTTTTCTTCTCTTCCACTTGTCCTCCATTGTGGGGCAAATTCGGACCTGCGCCTCTTCACCCCCATGTTATTAACGCCATTTCTGTTTTCGCTAAGTAGAAGCGTAAGAATGCACAAAAGGAGCATTTGCACGTGTTGCACATGTTTCATTTTTTTTAAAAAAATGAAAAACTGGGTTTGCTCCTGTGTGTACCTCGCCATTGTACCATGGCTCTTCTTCTGTGCAATTCACAAAATGGTATCATGGTGAGAGTGGTGTGGTAAAGGAGCGGTTACAATATCGGGCGGTCCTGTTGCATCGTGCGTGTGTGATCTCCTTGCATCGGTTAATTTGAATGGACCTCTCTACGAGGGTTCCCTCAAGAAAAGGAGGCTCAGTACCACACTCCACACCTCCACATGAGCCCTCTCCCAAAAGCTCGCAAAAGGGGCCCAAAATAAAGTGGGCACATTTCATGTGGACGGCATGCTTGCTCGAAGCCTTTACATCATTACGTTTTTTTTTTTTTTTTTTTCTTTTCCTCCTCGTACTGCGCGTTCTTAACTGATTTGTTTGTTACACGCCCACAAAAATGGGGGGAAAGCAAAACAGGCGCGGTGCAAAATAGGCAACTCCGAAATGGAACAAGCCGCAACATAAAAAATTTACCCGCGGGAACGCAGCTAAGTTAGGGCGCCGGAAAAATGGGGAAAATTTTCACATGGCATTGTTGTTACGCAAAAAAAAAAATATAAAAAACTTACGAGATAAGAAGTGAGGCAAAATGGCAGCGGTGAAAAACACACCAACAGCGTAATCACTGCACACGCGCGAACGAATGACCGAACCCCCACAGGGGGAACCCCGTATTCTCTCACTGCAGGCATGACAGGAGCCGAGTGACACGCGTGTCCACCGTGGCAGCGTCATCATTCGTTATGCCAAAAGGGTGAACGCTCCCCTGCTCCTGGCCCTCCCGCTTGACACAGTCGCTCAGGTAGGCTTGCACCTCCGCGCGAACATCTGAAGCATCGTCGCGGCTTCCTTCTCTGCTCTCTCTCGTGAGAACAAAAGAAAGCGAGCAGCTGAACAAAAAAAAAGGTTTGTAATTCCTCACTTTCAATCTTTTGCAAACGTCAATGAAGTATTGCGTGTCTGCCTGCAACTGCCGCAGGAGAGTTTCATTCACGTGGGGAATACTACCTACGGAGGAGAGGAACATCTCCGCAAGGTGTTCGAATAGCAGATCGGTTAAGTATTTACTTTCATGCTCATGGAATGTCTGAACGTACAAGAATATGCTTTCTACGATGAAACAAATGTTTTCGTCCGGATCCAACGTCTTCACCTTGTCTTCCTTCCGAAGGGCACACACTTTTGTAGTGTATTTATTTGTGTAAGTGTACAGTGGGATTAACGCAAAGTGAATAACATTTTTTATAATGGTATTTTTTATATCGTTTAATTTACACAGGGATGACTTGAGTAGGTGTTTCCCGCACTCGTGCTCGTCCAGCTCTTCCTCCGCCTCCACCTCCACCTCGACCTCACGCGGCGGGTCATCCTCCGGGGAGGAAGTTTCCCCCCTTTGCGATGTTACGTGCTGCTCCGCTGGACGCTTCGCACGCCGCTCCTCCCCCGCAGAAAACTCTCCGGTGGGGACATATTTGGAGGGAACCCTCCTGGGAAAGTCCCCCTTTTCGAAATAATCGTGCACGTGGCCAATGTTGAGGTCGACCCCCTTAGGGTACTTCGCCTGTCTGTTCAGGTAACTTTTGGAAATGGCGTTCAGCAAACTTTTGCTGGTAAAATGGCCATAAGTTCTTTCGAAAAGGAATTTCCCAAAAGACTCATACAATTTAGTTATATTAACAAATGTATTAAGGATTTGAATAAAAGTGGTCATAGCACTTTTCACATATTGAATGACTTGATTGGAAGAGTCGAAATCCTGTCTCATGCACACATAGCGAGAGTCATGATCATCCTGATCGATGCCTGTCCAACTTTTTTTTTTTTTTTTTTCATTTTCCTCCTTTCTTCGTATTTGATCCTTCATGTTGTAAATAATTTCATACACAAAATTATACACATTAATGAAAAGCAAAAGAAATTCTGTGTCGTGATTAAAAGTGAATGAAAAAAATGGAATGAATTTAAAAAATGGAGAATTGAATATCTCTTTTGAATTCATTTCTTTTTTTTTTTTTTCAATTATTTTGGTGATGTCCTCTTCCAATTCAGTAAAAAAATTGTGCAGCTTATTTTCCGCCATTATATCATTTCGGTCAAAGGTGCTCACTTTTGTGTTGATCTCTTCAAAGCAATGCATATCGAAATGGGATGCGTCACTCAGGTTTACTATATGCTCTGCCATAACATCATCGCTCATAAAAATGGCTTCGTTTATTATTCTACTTAACATTTTCTTCTTTCCGATGAGGAAGGGAGAGTTGGAGAGTATGTTTATGCTAACGCTAAGTGCGTCCATAATTTTGTGCGTTGCTGTCCCTTTCCATTTGCTCGCACCTGACTTGTCGTCGCGTAGCTGTTTTGTCTGCTCGCCCACGAGATGACCTACCACCTGGATGGCCTCCTTGTAGAGCCGAAGGAGGAAGTCGTCCTCGTGGTGGTCAACCTGGCCGCGTTCTCCACCTTCGCCGCTATCCTCTGCAACTTCCGCACAAATCTGCTGAACGAGACGCCGCATGGCCTCCTCGTGCTCCTCAATGAACGTCGTGAAGTACTCATAGTAGTTTATCACCGCGTTGTGTACAGCCGTCCCTGACTCAGATTGTGTGAATTTGAAAAAAGTCTTCCTAAAATTTGCCACCATAAAATGAACAATCCTTTTTGTAATTTCCTCAATCACGTACCCCTCAGAGTATATGTACATGTGAATAAACTTTAAGTAAGTACTGAACGTCTGTACATATATATGTATTATTCTGTTTAAGTCAACCTGGGAAGCACTATCGGTTATAAAAAATGACAGGATGCTGTTTAGCAGGGCAAAAAAATCTTCAAAAAATTCTGCACTATATATACACACATCAATGGAGGATAAATATATTTTAAAATAAGAAATAATTTCTTCATGCTCATTTATGTAGAGCATATTTGAGTGTAACATAATTGCCTTGTTTATTTTTTCATTTATATCTAGCTGTACATTTTTTACAATTAAAAATAATTCATTCATGTTTTTTTTTAAGGATGGAAATGCCTTTAAAAAGAGCAAACCTCTTTTGATATTCTCCAGTCTGCTCTTCGCGTCGATACTTTTCCTCAGGACAGTTTCCAGTTCGTGTGTTTCGTAATGGGGGCCTTCCCCACACTGTCGGCCCACCTCTGCATCCCCACTGCTATCACTATCGCTACTGAAGGAGGTACCACTTTTCCAATTATTTCCCTCCCCTGTTTGTACACCTCCATCCAGGTCCCTCTCCCCAGCAGTCTCCTTCCGATCTGCCACGTTAATGTTACTGAATAGTTCCCCCATTTCAACCTGCATAGCTTCCACATGTGTCTTCGTTTCCATCGCCATCCCTCTATACTTTTCTGCCTCGGCGTTTATCTCCCCATTTATGTACTCCTTCTCTGCTTTTACTGCTTCCCACAAAGAGTCGACTCTTTTTTGTAATTCCTCCGATTCTTTTGTTGTGAACCCCTCCTCATATTCGACCCCTCTCGCACGTGGTAGGAACCCCCTAAAGTGCCGCTCAAAGAAGGCCTCACAGTTGTTCTTGCTTTGTTTTATCTCCTTCAAGACGGTGTGCTGATCCATTCCGGTGTGGGGGGCAGCGGCGAAGTTTACACACACTCTGTATGGGTGGGGAAAGTCCGTGGACAGGTATTCTCTGTCGTGCGAAGTTATGTCGAATGCCGCGCGGGCTGTTGTCAGGTTTTAGGGGGAGCGGCTATACTGCTACATTATCAAGTGAGTTCTTTTTCATCTTGTGGTCCCCACCTCGCATCCTAAATTTGCAATCACGATAGGGTTAACTGATGGGAGAGCCTCCAAAAAAAAAAAAAAAATCAGGCAGGTGCTTCTCCACTGCGTGTTTCTAACCGGTTGAAGTGTCAAAAACTGGGGCAAATTTTTTGGTCGGATTTTTTTTTTTTTTTTTTTTTTTTTTTCTCACAACTCTGTGTTTTTGCGCGTACATCCCAGTGCCGTGGCGTGGCAGATTACGTCTCTCCGCCGCTCCGTGTGAAGCAATGTGCATGACTTTAGAGAGTGCGTTTTTTCATATGCCCACTTGTTCACCAAGTTGGAGAACTCTGGACCTGCACTAATGGTGTTCATACGGCGTATTTCACGCTCGCACTCTGTTTCCAATTCACCTGCAATGTTCAGGCGAGAGGAGCGAAACCCCTTTTCCTAAATTTCACCATCGCGCCAGTTACACCCTTTTCTGGTAGAGAAGAGTTGAGAGAAAAAAAAAGCCACTCACTAGATCGTTATCGTAAAGGGGTAGCTACTTTTCTGTTCTCGTTCGGGGAGAGCCAGGAGGGCGTGAGCCGGTCCAAGGAGTAACAAAATTAGTGGATATAAAGGAAGGAACCCTAAACGAAGGACACGCTAACGAAGGCATTCGAACTATCGGGTGCAGCTCAAAATGAAGAGACCAATGGAAGAGACACACACGCAACGAAAATGCTAACAGGCGAAAGATGATGCTTCTTTTTTTTTGTATTGGCCTAATTCTGCAGTTGTACGTTGGGTGCTTCAACGTAAAAAAAAACATAATAGTAACATACCAATGGGGAAGAGTAGCGAACAGGAACGAAGTTAAGTCAGGTGCATTTCCAGTGAGGAGGCAACTTTTTAAACTTAAAAAATTCCGAGCCCATGCATCAGACCATGGGGAGGGAAAAACGTCCATTGATGCACAACAGAATGGAGCAAAGAATAACCTACGCGAATTTTACCATCGGAATTGTAGGCAATTGAAGAAGACATTCGAATTAGTAAAAAGTGGTCTAATCTCCATTCAGGATAATTTATTGTCAACTCCGTTAGCTAGCCAGCTAGCCATTTCTGTCTCTTTTTTTCTTCTCCACTTTTATATGCTATCTCGTCACTTCCTCATTCTATTCCCCTATCAGTTAATTCCAAACCATTCCAACATTTTGATGAGCCTGGACTTTAACAACACGCTCTTTTTCTTATTGTCCATATTTTTTTTCAAACGCTTCAAGGACCACTTTCACAGCTTCAAGGAGAGGCTACAGTTGAACCGGTTCACTATCAAGCTGCAGGACCATAAGAGGAAAAATATTCTCTCCGTTTGTTTCCTCTTGATTGCTTCCTACGTGTTGTCGGGTGAGTTACGCGACGTGATGTGACGTGACATGTGCACAACCAGTGAGAAGTTTTTGCGAACTGATCAACACTGCATACTGCACGGTTGACCCAAGGCTCACATCTCTGAGTGCGCCCCTGCTGATTGCTCCCTTTTTTTTTTTTTTTTTTTTTTTCTTTTCCTTGCTCATTTTTTTCGCCCCTCCCGCAGGCTACGTGTCCATATACACGGAGCGTATCTTGACGCTCTGGAAACTGTTTCGTCGCCCACTCTCAGATAACGTGGTGAAGTCGCTACAGGTTAGGATGCTCATCGTGTGGAGGCGCGGATAGAGTAAAGCATAGTCTGCCGCCGTCTGGTCATGCGACATGGGCAACGAGGAGTTGCAGCTTTTAAGAAACACCCAGCTGGGCACTGCCGCGTGTACACCGATACACATGTGCCGCTTCGCGCTGCACACACATATATATACTTTTGCCGCTGTCTCCCACAGATTCTGACTGGGCACTTCATATGGGTTGCGTGCAGCATCGTCGTGTTTAAGCAGTTGCTTTACCCGTACTTCTTAAACAATGAAAGCAATTTGAATTTGCGCTACAAGAACAGTTGGTGGTTTGAGGTGATCTACGGGTACGTCTTTTCCCACTTCGTATTCAACATTGTGGATGTGCTAAACAATTTTATAATAAATCGTTTCATGGGAGAGGCGGAAGACGAGGTGTACGTGGACAACAGCATAGACGACATTGTTAGCGGAAGAGAATTCGTTTCAACTCTGTTGTGCATTATTAGTCCCTGTTTTAGTGCGCCTTTTTTTGAGGAATTTATTTATCGTTTTTTTGTGCTGAAGAGTTTGAATTTGTTCATGCATATACATTACGCCGTTACGTTTTCTTCCCTGTGTTTTGCAATTCACCATTTGAACATTTTTAACTTACTTCCTTTGTTTTTCCTGTCCTTTTTATGGTCCTACATTTATATATACACTGACAACATTCTCGTCACAATGCTTATTCACTCGTTCTGGAACATTTACGTTTTTTTGTCTTCCCTCTACAGCTAGCCATTTTGTTTTTTTTTTTTTTTTTTTTTTTTTTTTTTTTTTTTTTT